AACACCAGCACCAGCAGTGGCTGCTCCTGGGGTTCTTGCCCATGTCTGTGGTGGGGGATGCCCCAGCAGAGCAGCCTGGGGTTAGGATACAAACTGGGCAGCAACTGATCTTGTTGAAGGTGTCCCTGTCCGTGGCAGGGGGTTGGAACTGGATGTTCTTAATGTGTTTATCACGTTAAGGTCCTTTCCAACCCAAACCATTCTGTGTCTCTAAGATGACGGGCAGTTAGCAAGTTAAGGTGCTGGCAGGTAAGCTTTGTGCAGAGCTGACCTGCATCGTACACCCCGGCTGGGTCTGCAAGCTGAAATGCTGCTGAATTTTCATAGATGTGCTTACTTACAAAATCAAAGCTGCTGATTGTTGGTTTTACCCTGTTAACTGATAAAGCTGCCTTTCAGGAGGCATGCTCGCTGCTGGGCACAGGGGGAGGAAGGTGAGCCTTCCCTGGACAAGGTTTTTAGGCTCTCTGTTACACTTACTCCCCACATTATCCAATCACAAGCACTCTGTGGGCTCATTTGACCCATGCAAGATGGTCTCTTTCTGAGCCTGAAATGTTATCTTTGCAGTACAATAAATGACTTATAAACTGCTGTTTATTTTTCCACTGGGGATTCAGGGCTGTACCTAAATCTAACTAAAATGGCTTTATTTTTACTGGAAGCACAGGAAAATCCCCAGCTGACAGAATATACTGTGTCAAAGAGGAGCACCCACCCCTGGCCGAATCGCAAGGTCCTGCACTACACCAGCTGCCACCACCTTGGTCTGATCAGTGTGCCCATACCAAACCCCATCAGGCAGGCTTGGCACAGGGAGCCAAGAGGATCCCCCCTCCCCGCGTCCCGGAGCCATGCTGCTGCCTCCTCTGCAGCTCCGTCTCAGCGTGGGGAGCAATGCAAGCAGCCCAAGTGCTGTGCAAGGCTGTGCTCCTGTAGCACTCCTGTTCATAAATCTCCTTCTTCCCTAAATATCCCCATGGAAAATAAACACGATGACGAAGAAAACCGAGCCACAGGAATTCTGAAAACCTATATGCCAATAACTTGCGTTCTAGCATGTTACTGATACACTGTATATTCGCAATTAGATCACAGATAACACAGGGGACATTCATAATTCCAGCACACCTCTGCACATGGAAAGCTAAATTTTGCAGCCCTTAAAGTCACCACCGTGCGAGTCTTCTGCTCTGCTTCCTGAGCATTTCCCTTGGTAAGCCAGGAAGACTGAAATCTCATTCATACTGTGGCTTTATTAAGGATACACTGAGGCTTTACACCAGCCTTACACCCACTCTGAGGTCCCTTTACACTGCCAGCGCAGCATAACGCAGCCAGCACAAGCGTAAATGAAAATCAGGCCCCAGAGGTTTTTCCTCCCTGCAGTGCAGACTTACAGCTCCCATTACACATTTGCATTAAGGGCTGCAACCCTCCATAAAATACACTCACCAACTTAAAACACATTAGAGACCAGCTAGACTCAGCACACAGAGAGGGCTTCTGCCGAGAAGAGTTGTCCTCAAGTATGGCATAATAAAAACATACAGGAATGGAGGACTGCAAGGACTGGTGGAAGGGAGGAGTGTTCAACAAAGGGGTCATGGTAAAAGCCTCTTCCATGTCCTTTCAGGAAGAACATGGTTTATTTATTATCCTTAATAAACAGCAAGATTACCTGAATCATGCATTTCTCTATCTTCTGCAGGGTTTTGCTTCTCTTACTCTGTACCAAGGCTCATCTTTCATAGGAGGGTAAAGTGACTGATGTGACACCAAGTTATAACTGAAGGCTGCATGGGAATATGTAGCAAACACTGGAGGTTCTGGTCTGTATTTGATAATATAACCAATATAGAGAATAATGGGTGACAAATGTACAAATCTGCTACTCTCTCTCTGTTGGTTATCTATCTATCTATCTAGATATATATCTTGGTTATATGCTGGCGTCTTAACTGAGAAGCCTCAGTTGAAGCATGTCTTCTTGAAGATAGCAGCACTGCTCATCAGCCGCTCCCTCTTCAGGTCTAAACACAGACCTGGCACATGCAATGTGGCTGATACAGGAAGACGTGACCGTTTGCCTGACCCTGGGCACAGGGTCTCTCTGCAGAGCATGGCAGGATGCAGGGTGATGGGTGTATGCTGTGCTGGTACAGCCACAGCACACCCATCCTGACCATGTGGCAGGTAGAGGCAGGCTTGGGGCTGTGCTGAAGACCACCATTAATTTATCTGCTGCCTTTCAGAACTTACTTGAAGTCAGCAGCCGAGCACAGGCTTGCAGCCAAACGGTTTGGATGTGTGTTGAGCTGGAGTCAAGTGTGCCAGCCTGCCCCAAAACACAGACACAGCAAGACAAGCTGTACTTGTGCTGCTGCCTTTCTCTTCTTTTGCTGCTTCGTCTCCCTCAGCTTTTATTCACTGCAGCGCAAGTCAAGACCTGCTGCTCCTCTGGGCAGACAGTGTTTTATAAAGCATGCTGGCATGGCTGTGGACGGTCCGAAACCATTTCTGCTTTGGGCGGGAGTCATGAATCAGTGTGCTGGGCAGCAGCACATCAGTGAAATGGAGAAGTTTGGCCTGCTGCAGGCTGACATAATTTGCTCTATTGCAAAAAAATCCCTTCTTTGGACTTTTCCTGGTGGCAGGGGGTAAGTATTGACAAACGTGCAATGGCAACAACCAAACTAATGAATATACTGCAACAGAAACCTCTGGCAGTATTTACAGGAGTTTTGCCTGGCTGTGGTTTGGAGTCAGAACTGGGAGCACTCTGCAGACAAAAGCACACTTTTGTAGCTGTGTGAGGGACCAAGTGCTCACGTCCCCATGCGAACTGGGGCAGTGCTGCACATCCATGAGGCAGGCTCTCACACACAGAGAGCTGTGAGCACTGGGGCAAGCTGGCTCCCTGCCTGAGGCTGAGACCAGTGACAGCATCCGCCTGCTTACCTGGTATCTGTCAGAGTGATGGATGTCATCTGAGGAGTGGGGTGATGCTGTCGGAGAATCTCCTTCTCGCTTGATTGAGGCCGACAACAAAATTGACTGCAAGAGAAAGGAGAAATTTATGCTGTGAGTGTTGCTGAGCTTTCTGCCCATTGCTAAGCTGTTCTCAAAGCCATGAAGAGCATCTGCTGGGCTGTGGGGCTGTGCTGGGATGGACTAATGGGCTGGGTCTGCTCTTCCCAAGGGACCCTGCCCCACGAGGGACTGGGATGCAAAGTGCAGATGCATCAGGCAACAAAGGGATGGTCATTTTGTCCTCAGATCTGGTGACTGGGGGCAGCAGGATTAGTCTCTGCTGGAAATGCTGTGTGAGGACCACACCAGGAATCCACAAGGTAAAGGTGAAGACATGCTGATATGGAGCAGGGCTTATGGGCTCTCATCCACCCCTCTAAGTGCCACTAAATCTCTCAATAGCTTTGTAAACCGCACTAAAGCTCTCAGCACCTTTTCAGCACAACTACCTCTTCCTTCTGTAATGATGCTATTTATTTTAATAAGTAGCAGAGAAAAAAAGGGCCTTTTAGAAGGTTAAAAAGATCAGTGATATTTGAGACCTAAGAAATCACTGATAAACTTCAAGTCAATAGTAGGTAAGTCTAAATTCCACACACAGTGAACTCCAGTGGGAAAATTACTGCAGGAGTTTGACAGTATCTAAAAAACCATACCCTGAGTTGCAAGTGAACTTTATTATTAGGAGAGTTTGAGGGCAAAATGCAATTCAAAATTCTAATTTAAAATATAAATTGGCTAAACTGGGCTAAATATAGTCCAATACATTGTAAAACAAAATGCGCACTGGAAACGCTGCTCTGCAGATGTTTTTGTTTCTGAGAATCAGCTGACAAGATATGACAATAAATGACTGCTCGGAGATGTGTATGTTTGCAAAGGGAAGTGTAGATATCATCTGAATTGGACAGGTCAAGTGTGGTGACAACATTATTAAAAAGCATAATACCTTGGAGAAAGGGAAGTATTCCAGAAACATTTGCCTCTGGGCTGAAATGAAACGTGAAAAAATGTGCATTTTTTGGAAAGATATGAGCAAGTGGGAAAATGACTCAGCATACAAATCTGTTCAGTCAGCAGGATGCGATCCCCTGGGCTCGGACAGCTCTCCCAGTGAGAAAAGCTCAGTCAGTGTGGGCACGGAGGGAGAGCAGGATCGGGATGGAGGCAGGGAAAGAGGATTTGTGATGTTGGGTTCAACCCCATGGGCATGAACTTCTAGTCTTGTCACTAGGGCAAGACCCACATCCCTGTGAGTCTCTGCCATAATGCATGGCTCCATGGCTGGTTGCATGGTTCCATGGGAAGCTGTGAATGCTCCATCCCTGGTGGTGTTCAGGGCCAGGTTGGACAGAGCCTTAGATGACATGGTTTAGTGTGAGGTGTCCCTGCCCATGGCAGGAGGTTGGAACTATATGATCTTAAGGTCTTTTCCAACCCAAACCATTCTGTGATTCAATTCTATGATTCTGTGGTGGAGCAGAGATGTGATATCCTGAAAGGATAGGGGAATTGTCAGTGGGAGCCTGTGGGCCTGTGGGTACCCAGAAAAGATCAGCCTCCACCTCCCAGGGGAGACACAGGCAGAACAGGGGGCTCTCCAGCCTCATGTGTTGGCTGAACCCAACTAGTGATGGGTTTTGGTGAGTGGCTCATTTATGCCTGGAAAAGCCCTCTGATAACCATGTGAAGCTACCAGGAGAATTTCTCCAGGGTGTAGACCCCAAGATCCTGCCGTTGCTTAGTTTCTTTATTCTCTAAGCAGAGAATGAGGACCATTTTTGAAGAAGCAGGGTTGCATATGTCCTATAAAATGGAGAGGTGGGAGCTCAAAGCCTTTGGGTGGGACTCAGAACAACAGCCCAGATTACAGCAGTGTTAATGCCCTTCCCCTCTAATAAGCCAATGGAGCTGGGAGGGTTAAATCTGTTTTGTCTTGCAACGTATTCTAGAGAAGGGGAAAAAATACCCATCTCCCCATTCCTTGGCGACAGACAAACCCTCCCCCACTCCAGCTCCCCCCTCAGCTTCTGGTAGCTCTAATCCAATATTATTATGTGAAAAATGGTGGGGCTAGCTATGGAGACAGTAAATTAAACGTTATGTATTAGTTTTTAGCATGTGGTCCCGGGAAGAACGCCGGCCCCATTTATTCCACAAACCTCCTGAGCACCATGGCGATGACCTCTGGAAAAACGCAGGGCTAAACTAATCCCAAAGATGTCAATCTCGAGGCCTCTTCTACATACACTTGCAGTTTAGATTAATAAACTGTCTATTTTTAAATTGTGTGCAAGCACTTCAATTCTAAATACCTCGCCGGCATGTTAAACACAGCGTTAGAGATGCCAAGTCACACTTCCCCTTCACTCTTAGGAAACTTGACTTCATTTGTTTCTCTCATTTCCATGTGCTGTGCCACGCTTTGCTGTTCAGGCAGCTGTGGGAGCAGGCAGGGATGCAGGCTCTGGGGATAAGGGATTAGGAAAGGCACTCGCCACTAGGATGACTTTCATTTCTGCAGTAGGCCATACTCTCTAAAAGAGGCCATCTGAATTTTGGCCTCTTTTTATCCCGGATTGTCATGTTGGGGCTGTTTTCCAATGGCTAAATGGCAAGGATGCTTGGCCAGAGCACGCCAGACCAAGGATTTGCTGTCTCATGGACCCACGCAGCGCAATCCCACTAGGGTCCTGGCAAGTGGGGAAGGGGCAGAGATATAATCCCCATTCCTGTCTCAAGCAGCATCTGGGAAGATAGCTATGGAAGGAAAAGGCAGCTTCCCATGCTCACACTGCAGGGCAAACCCAAACTCTAGCATCCCATCCCAGAAACACAGCGCTTGGTGCTCTGCATACAGACAAGCGTGCCGTATGGCTGTGTGGAGATGCTCCCTTTGGCATGGTGGGAACAAGCCTTGACACTGAGAATTCCCTTTCCCCCCTGTGGAAAGGCCAACAGCCAGCTCATCCCTAACTGGTTGCCAGTTCAGCCCAGCTCCCTTTCAGGGTGCAAGTGAAATGAGCGAGAGCCCATTCTGGTCCCCCTTACCCTGGTATACCACAGCTCCCAGTATCAAAGACAGCAAGGGCCTTATGCGAGCGGCCATGCAGCCTCATATTTCTCCCTCCCCTTTAAATCATCTCTCCACTGGGTAAAGGCACTCTCTGCGGAGGTTATAAACCCTGAGAGGATCAGCCTGAGCATTACACCTGGGGCAAGCTAAATAAAAAAAGGTCACCGGCGCTTTTTAAACATGGACAAAAATGCAGTAAAATGTGTTTGGAAAAAAAAATCTGGCATTAAATCATGACTTTTTGCCTGGCTTGCCTCATTAAAAGTGGCCTTTTGGAAGGTAAAATTATCATTGTAAGTGATAAGATCTTTAAGAAAATAATTCACGGCTTCTTCACCCTTTAATATGATAGCCGCCACCGGCTAATTTTTTTCTTAATGGCAACGAGACTATCAATCTTGTCCAAGCCCTGCACTCCCTCCTTCCTCCTGCCCCTCCTGCCATGCCAGGCAGCCATGGCCCTGCTCACTGTTCCTTCCTACCCCTTGGAGCCCAGCTATGCTGTGCCAAGGAGAAGAGGCACGTCTGGATGTATGGCTTTACCCACTTGTGTCTATGGATCCCAGCAAGAAGGAGAGGCCATGTAAGCTTTGCTCATGCTGCAAGGTTCACACCTTGGTAGCTCCCAACATCCTCCATGGACCGTGCAATTCTGCACAGCATCTGCAAATGTTTCAGCAGTCTCATTCAAATAAGGAACGACATAAAGTTTACATATATAAATACATGGACAGGTTTGCCATGAACCAAACATGCTGCTCTGATCCTGGTCCATCGCTCTTCAGACCTGCTCCTCCCTGCTCAGGCAGCTCCAAGGTGATGCTGGCAAGGGCATGGGTGCCAACATGCCACCAGAGCTCAGACCATAGGCACTCAAGATGTGTGTCCGTGGCAGCACAAGGGGAGGGTGCAGGTGTCAGGGTGCATCCAAAGAAATGGATGGAAATTGCTGGCACTCGTTGACCCCAGCACCAAGCACTGCCTCTCGCCGGTGGCCGGGTGAGGTGTCAGTGCTGAGAGAGCCCAGCCTGTGCCTCTGACATTCTGCTGCCTCTCAAGGCCAGTCATCTGAGAGTATTAAAGTGCTGGACTCCTGCTTTCTGATAGCCCTGGAAAAACACAAGGAGTCTATTTTTCTTAAACAATCCATCACAGCTGCTGTCAGCAGAACAAATACCCTAACCCTGCTTTTTATGTATCTGTATAGGCTTTTTTATTATTATTTTTTTCTATTTTGGCACAAAGTGTTCCCTGCTTGATGCATTCAGCTTTAAGGCTGCTGTCTAAATAGGTACTTATCACTTAACATGGAGGTGATGGCTTGACATGTTTTCTGTCTCCTGCCCTCCCCTCCACGGTAGGGAAGCCATCAAAGTGTTGCTAATAGCTGTTATCACTTGGGAACTGTAACCCGAAAGCAATGAGTGATACCAGGCCTTGCTGTGATTTTCCCCCTTAACTCTGCTAGCTGTTTTTTGTGTTATTCCTGGAGGATCCCTGACACAAAGATGCTACTATTAGAGATGAGTTTCCTAGAAGCTTTCGGAGGGTTCACATTTGCTCCTGGTAAAGTTAGAGGTAAAATTATCTAGTGGCTTTTAGCTGGCAGAGGTAAAGGTGGTATGGAACTGAGGATGAAAGGCTTAAGTGTGAGAAGGGTGTGAGTAGTGAACAGAAATTATGGTAACAGAAGCTTCTGGCCATGGCTAAAAGATTCCAGTGGTCTTCAAGCAGAATAAGCTTACAGAAATGTGAGCTGCTGGTTTATTTCTGTGCATGTTACAGTTATACCTGGGATTGTAATCAAGCTCTGGGTCCTCTTGGGCAAGACACCAGCTACACAGTATGAGAAAGGGCCCCTTCCAGCAGAAGTGCCTATGGGCACACCAGGGATAAAGGGGAAAGAGGTCTGCGGGGGTCTGCCAGCCTGTGCAGCTCTCCTCCGTCACATCCCTCTCTGCTCCTGATGCCAAACACAGTGGTTTCCCCCAGCCCAATGGGAGGGCACAGCTGTTTGGCCCAAGGGGAGCAAGAGGCTTTTGTTTGTTCATGGGGTAATTTGTTTTATGGAATAAAACCTGGCAGTGTTTTTTGGAGTGGCTCTGGTATTCATCACCCTATACTGGCAGGGACTCTGACCAGCCAACACTCATCCTATGTAATTTCACCTCTTTCACATATCTATGGGCTGTTCTTATGTCCCCAGCTTGGCCATAGCTTTTCCACAAAGCGGTGTCAGATATAGCTCTTTAATCTTTCCTTGTAAATCACAGTTACAGAGGGAGGGGGCACAGATACGGTGAGTGACTTCTGCAACCCCCTCCCAGTGAGCCAATGACACAAGAGAAGGAGTTAAAACCCCAGGGCCCTGGCACCCGTCCCCTGTTCCTACCACCAGATGTGATACGGAGAAGTTAAATGATTGTGCTAGAAATTCCATCTCCAGCAAGGCAGCTGGGAAGGGCTTAATACAGACATTCTGTCAAGGTTTAAGGCTCCAAATCTTGCTTGCTTCAAAGCTCTTTTTCCTTGGAGGGCTTTAGTGGTCAAATTTCCCTCTAGATGCTGTAATTCTCTCTCAAACTGCCCAGTGAAGCTGTAAAATCACAGGGGTTGGTGGGGGAATCAAAGGGCTTCTGGCACTGTGTCTTGGTTCCCAACAATGCCGGAGGTCTCGGAGCAGCGTGCTGGCTGCCTGCCTGCAGGCACCCTCTGAGGAGATGGGTGCGCACCTAAACAAACCAGCCGCAAGTATTTGCTAGGTGCATAAGATGGATTTTGTTGCTGGCTGCTCACATCAGTGTTTGTTTGCAGCAGGAGCCAGCTCACAGACTGGACTGTTAGTGGGAAAGTGAATTTGCAGTCATGTATTAGGGAGCAGCAGTAGAAAACCAGTGCTGACCCCACCGGCATCGCTGGGATGTGTCATGGAGCCCAGCGTCTTCTGCTTCTGTGGTCAGTACCAGCGCTTTCACACGGGATGTAAGTTCTCCTGTTAGATGATGGGTAACAGGCTGCAGCTAATACCCTGAGATTTAGGGGTTAAGACCTCTCTGTACAGAGATGATACCCACCTAGATGATAGCCTGTGGAGGGAGAGCCACGGGACAGACAGAGAGTGGCAAAGAAGTGCCCTTAGGAGGACCTGGGGGTACTGACTCTCCAAGTTACTGCTGGCTGCTCAATGAAGAACAGTAACACTTGGACTAAATGTTGCTCATACGTCTCACCAACATGGGTTTAACTCAACATGTGCTCCTCTCCTGTACCACCCCTTGCAAGAGGCAGGAAAGGCAGAGGGAGAGCAGGAAGCCCAGGACCAATGCCCAGGGAACTGCACACTGCTGATAGCTATGTTCAGACCCCTGGACAGCCATGAGCCTGGATGGAGCCTGTGATGTTGTCCATACATCCCTGAAAGTCATCCCTGCTGCCTGGTCTGCCTGAGACACAGCCTCTGGCCATTCTGGGCAGTGCTGCAGGGAAGGTGTCACCTTGACTTGTGGGGACTCAGTAGGCTACCTGGCACTCAGCAATAAGAAGATTCAGCATCACAAACCTTGGGTGTAGCATCCAAGCATGCAAACAGGGACAGAAACTGCTGTTGAGAGGAGACAGTGGTGTTCCCCTTGCTATCTTCAGGCTATGGGACTTCTTGCAGACACCTTGAGCTATCTCAGGCCTTTTTCCCCCATCAAAGGCTGGTAGAGCCCAGCTTTCCTAAGTGGCAGTCAGGATTAGATAGGAATCTCATCCTGAGACTCACTGTGCAGGTTTGTCATCTGCTTGTCCAAGTGGCTTGTCCACTCTGGCATATCACCATCAATTGGACTTGGTCTCTAACAGAAAGCAAATGAGGATCCAGAACAATGCAGAGCTATGTGGTGCTCAGTGTTCCCTCCAAGCTGCCTTCACAGAGAGAGAGCCCAGGCACCAAGCAGATGGGTTGGCTGGAGCCCCACAGCTCTCAGCTCTTGGTTGGCTTTCACTGCTTTCGCCAGCTCTGATAATAGAAGAATCTGATACAATAATCCCGCATTCATCACATCCCATGTTGAGTGATTGGATTTTCTTTGACATATTGCCATGAAAATTGACCCAGTGCAGTGAGTGACAGCTCTTCAGAGGCAGGAAAGCTGCGTGCGAGGAGCATGCGTTTACATCTGGGCTTTTATTGCCAGGAGAGACATTCCCAACTATGGGGATGGGATAGCAGGCAAGTCAGGAGACAGAGCATGGGGGGTTAAATTCCCTGCCCCTGGATGCACCCCGGGAAGAGCCTCAGGCCAGCACAGAAGCAGCAATGGTAGTGATACTACATGCAAAGGTCTTAAATGGGTCCTAAGGTGGTCTTAATGGTCCTAAAGCCACTGGTGATCACAAAAATAACACAGCCAGCCTGCACCCCATCCCAGTTCCCATGTCCCTGAGTGAAAACCAGCCTGCCTGTGCTGCCAGGGAATGCTCTTGAAGACTGGGGAGGTGCAGCCCCTTTCTCCCACTGCTGGAGGTGCTGGCACTTTCGTTGGCACCAGGAGAAGACTGACCAGGAGACATTGCAGCAGTCCCTGTGGTGCTTGCCACACTTTCCACCAGTGCCCAGGGTGGGAAATGGGACATGGTACAGGTCCCAGCTCTTCCCAGGTGGTTCCTGCCAGACTTCCAGTGATGCCCACCCTGGGATCTGTCCCCCATCCCTCTGCCTGGGACCCCTGTTTAATGGTGGCTCAGAGGCCCAGCTTTGTCTCCAGCAGCACTTTCTCAGAGGGAATTCACATCCCAATGGGCTATTCCCACCCCATGCTGCAAGCACTCAGTGGGCAGAAGGGGAAAAAAGCTTCATCTCCCCATCCTCCTCCTGCTCAATCCCACCTGGTTACAAAGGGGTTTTTAATATGAAGCTCAGGTGAAGGTGATAGCGCTGTGCCATCCTATGCCACACAGGACTTGTCTCGCAGCAAAAGCCACCTAGAAATAATGAATCCTCCTGGGCTGAGAGGCTTTCAAGCTCTCTGAGAAGGGAATGAAAGATATCTTGATTTCACCTTCTCCCTCCCTGCTCTCCTGGCTTCTTGAAGTTAATGTTCTTAGCCCCAGACGTGACGGGCAAAGGAAAAAGATCCATGTGGTGACAGGGGACAATTGATCTCTTTTACATAGAACGACGCTTCAGTCCCAGTTTAATCCCCTCACTCAAGGCAAATGGGATTCTTTGTCAATGGAAACTTCAAAAGCCCGGCCCTGCCGCAAGATGGACCTTCGTCTTTATCTGGTCTCTGTCAGTCACTGGCTGTGTTTCCCTCCAAACAGCTATCTGTCTTCCTAGCCATCCTTCTCCCTTGCAGGTGATGTGTTTGGGACTGTTGAGTTATCTGCACTCAGACCTGATGAGGAGGGAAAGGGAAACTTGCAGCGTCCAGCTGCTTTCATTTTGTGAGTGCCCTTTCCAGTGTGTTTGAAACATCCCAAAGCAGCCTCAGACTGCTTGAACTGTGTCACCAGAAGGGCAGGAGAGCCTGGACCACTTGCTTTTGCCCTCACTGAGGAGCACAGCGTGGTTCCCAGAGGCTGTGCAATGCCCAGCTGCCCTGCAGTGCTCCCTGCCACCCACTTTCCTGCCCAAGATCTGATCCTTCTCATATGAAGTCCAGCTAATGGTAATATTAATTAGTGAATGGTGCCCTCCGCAGTGATGCCGTGATTCAGCTTTGCTGTCCCCTGGCTTCATGGGGAATGAGAAAGCCGCGTGTGGGTACTTGGCTGCTCCAGCCCGGTGGGTAAATGGGACAGAGGCTTCTCCCAGCACTGGCCCCCATAGTGTGGCTACCTTCCTGGGACACACTGAATGGCAATACAGGGAGCAGGCTGGGAAGGTGATGGGGTGTAAAAAGCATCCCTCTGGGGGAAGAAAGCGTGCTGAGTTGTTCTCACTTACCTTGGGGGTGCCTGCTGCCATGGCATCCTTCAGGATGGAGCTCTTGCTGCCAAGAGAGAAGAGAATGGGATCAGTCATTGAAATGCTGTGGTGGGCAATGGGGGAGCACTTTGAGGGATCTCACAAGGTCTCTCCTTCCCCAGACCAAGGAAAGCCTCCTCACCCTAACCCCTCCCCACCCATGGAAAGGAGGGCAGCTCTGACTGTTTCTCCAGCTGGGATAAAATGGTCCTACAAGTGGAACCTCCAAAACCCAGACACACAATGCAGAGTCAAATCCTGACTTTCTTCCTCCTTGGGGTATTGCACAACTCCTCTCTCAGCCCTGGGGCAAATGGGATCAAGCCTGCAGGGTCACAGGGAAGGAAGCCAAGGAGAGAGGAGCGGTGGATCAGGCATCATAAAAAACGGAGGAAAGGAAAGAGAAGGAGGTGGAATCGGCATAGGAGCAAGGGAAGGAAGATCCTCCCAGCTCCAGCCACAGCGTGGGGGCAGCAGCTCTGCCGGAGGATGGAATGATTTGTTAATTCAGCTTGTTCCCCGTTTAGCAGGGAAGGAGGTCCCCGCCACGCTGCTCCTCCTCGCCTGCCCTCGCCAGCGGGAGATGCTATAGATTTAATAACACCTTCCCCCCCTCCAGACAGGTTAAACTTGAAACAATTACATATCAAAGCCGACATGGCAGGGAGGCCTGCACTGTAATTTTTTGGTTATTAAAGTAATCTCTCTCATGTAAATTCTCCTGCTAACATGCTGCAAACAGCATTAGGAAATAAATTATTTCCCCATGATTCGATTTGTCAATGCAAAGCACCTGCAGCAGGCAAAAGGCTCTTGAAATATGTTGCCAAGCCCAGTGCTTGGGCTTGTAAGTGCATGCCGGTGGGGTGGCTGGCTCCCAGCTCCCCATAGCCCCGGGGAGATGATGGATGGGTGGGTGTGTGGAAGGGGGAGGCTGGGGAAGGAAGGGGGGGGAATGGAATTGTGTTTAATAACAAAATTTGTATGCAAGCCTGCATCCCAGGCTAAGGATGAGTGATCGGCAGCCAGAAAGTATTAAAAAGCCTCGCTAAACAGATGCTGACAATAGAACAAGACATATCAAATCAGATCTACTTCAGAAACATTAATATACACACGCACACACGCTCGCCCGCGCGCGCGCGCCCGGCTCCGCACACCCCATGCTCCTTTCTTCTCAATCACAGCAATATGGGAGACATCAATAAATTTTTATGAGACTTTTAGAAGATCAACACGGTACTAGATGTGACAAAAAAGCAATGTGCCTGTCATGTTCGCTTTGTCGGGGACACTTTAGCCCCAGATGCCGAGCTGCAGTGCCAGCAGGGAGAAATTGAATTTGGCTGGCTTTAATCTGCCTTGATTTGGCAGATGGCTGGGTGTTATGAAATGAGCAGGGATGGAGGAAGGTGTTTTCTCCCAGGGCTACAGCCTCCCTCCTCTCTCAGTGCCACTGCCCTCACCCCCCATCCCAAAATGGGGGGAAACACGCAGTTATCCGTTGCCATCAGGTCACCCCAAATGCTGCAGCTCTGCTCCTGGAGCAAGTGGCTGTGGTTCCTGGGGACCAGGGATCACAGGCTGGGGTATCACCTCCTTCATAGCCCTGCTTCCCTGAGGGAATGTGCTGATGGATGCTTACTGGAGGGTGCAGGATGTCCCCCAGTTCTGCTCCCCTGTTCTCAGGAGGTGGCACAGAGCAAAGTCAGTCCCTGCTGTGCCCTGAGATGCAGCCCTGGCACCAGCTCCAGCCTGCATCCAAATGCGTGTGATGGGAAAGATTTCTATCCCCTCCCCATCTCCAGCACTACCTTGGATCCCTCAGTCACCCAAAGTGTGAAACTTTATTTTCCTTTTATAACCCAAACACCAGGTTAAAAAAACCAACTCATTTCCTCCCTTTTCTTGTTAAAGGTTTTTAAAATTATTTCTTTTCGAGGGAAAGAGGAAGAATCTCATTAATTCCTCCCAGAAATGGTGTTTGTGCCAGGAAACTGCAGTTTCCAGGATGAGAGTTTCTTTGGTCAGCTGAAGGCCAAGCTTCTGCTGTTGGGACAGATAAGGAAGAGGACTGATTTAGATAACTTGACAAAGTTTACTTTATTCTATATTTGAAGGATTATTAAGAACCACCCCCTCCTTGCAATTTAGCCCCACTGTTACTAATAAGAGGTTGCAATTGGTTTTTATCTATTTATAGAGATTGGTCGGGAATAGGCACAAGCCCTGGTCATCCAAGTCCCAAGACCCTGGAATATAAGGGTTCTTTCCTCCATCCCACTAAGCAACCCCCTGAATTACAGTGGCTGCAGCCCCCTGCATCTCTTAAGGATGCTGGCAGCGGGCTGAGAATCGAAAGGCCGTCAGCAAAGAGAGACCTTCCCCTCCATAAACACCGCAGACAAATTAAAAATGGTAAAAGGGAAATCAAGACCTTTAAAGTTCAAACACTTTTCGGTGCCTTTTAAAGTTTTTTCGCTCTAGGCCCTTGCAGACAGCACAATCTTTGGAGACCTTGGGATTCTCTTTAATCACCCAGCCAGGCTTCAGTGATCTGAAATGATTACACATTTACATAGTAATAACCCCAACACTCCCCACATTATTTCATGGCTAGCATATTTCCACTCGGCGAGTGATCCATGTGTTTTAAATTATAACCTGTACATAGGAAATTAGTTAGTAAGTACGATATTCACGGGCTCGCCTGACACTTCTAATTAAGGTGATTTACACAGAATTATCCTATGAAATAAAAAAATGGTGTTTTGCTAGCTAATAAAATATAATTACTACCCGCTTTTCTAAGTTACAGTTAGTTTTAATCTATTTGGGGAATTGTTTATCTAGTTCATTACAACAAAACAACTTCTTTCCCTTTTAGGCAACCCCCCCAAAGTACCAAAGATGACAAGAAATGCCCTGGAAAGACCCAGCAATTTGGGCAGACTCCTTCTCTCTCTCCTGACAACTTTGCACTTCCAAGTGATATGAGGCTGCTTCTTCACTGGTTCCCTTTCTTGGGGCTGAGACACAGGTTCTGGTTGTGCATTTGGGCATCCCCACGTGTTTGGGTGCCATACACCTCTGTGAGGACAAAACAAGGTCTCTGCTCTGGTGCTGCTGGAGCGCTCTGTCCATCCTTGCAGCTGCATCACCCTTAATGGGAGCTGCATGGCCAGGTCCCCACGTGCCATCGGGTGCCCACCAGAGACCCAACACTCCTCTATATTAGGGCACATCAGCTTTAAGAGGATCATTTACTCTTAGCAAGACTCTCTACAATGAAAGCAAGACTCAGGGTACATCACAGACATGCAGATGTCTTTTAACCCAAGGCAGAGATTTGGTTAGGAGCATCCCCAGATGCAAATGGAAACCCCTGTGCATCTCCCTGAGTGAGCCCCAAGGGGCTGTTCAGACCCAGTCTCTATGTCATGACGTCCCAAAGGGCAAAGGGTAGCTCAGCACACCAAATATGTGTCCTTACCCACAGTCTTAGTGTTTCTCTCCCCCTGCCACGGTTTCTGTTGTACACAATGGCCTTCTAATGTCTTTATGTATTTTGTTATATCTTTTGGGGTATGCTTGCCATAGGAAAAGAAAAGAAGCAACATGGAAGGAGTGGTCCCTTATCATCCCTTATTGTGTAGGAATCTCAGCTTTCCTCCAAAGGAAAGTTTTCTGGGTGCTCAAGTGAGGAGACAAGATAAGCCCTGCTCCCCCCTATCAACTGCCAGGCAGAGGATCGTGACCCAAGGTCTGCTCTTGCTCCCAGAACCCACCATGTGCAGGCAGAAGGCTGGTGTCAGGCAGCTGCCCCAGGGAAGCAGGGACAGGAGCATTCCTCCTCTGTGCTCATTGCAACACACACAGAGTATCTGCGCCAGGGCATCGCTGCAGCATCCCGGAGCAAGGGTTGGAAAGTTGTGTTGCGGTTGTAACTACAGCCTGAGTGAGAAGACCAAGAGAGATGTGCTCAGAGGGGAAATGTGAGTACAGAACAGTGATGGGACTTGTCTGGAATCTCAGTGCAACAGTAAGGCCAGAAACAGCTCCAATGCTGCACTTCAGCCTTAGCTTAGGCTCCCCAAGCATGTTAAAACAAGATTTCTGCAAAGCCCCCACTCAAGGCAAGGCAGGGCTTATGATGAGCATCCATCAAGGAAGGGCTGAGCTCAGTACCTGGCATAGCAGCCACCCCCTGGCAACACTCCCTGCACGTCATTAATAACAACTGCAAGAGAAGTTCCTTGAGCTTGGGCTGCTACAGATGTTTGTGCTCATCCCTTAATGACATTGCAGCCAGGAAAGGTGTAAAGAGGTGGTAAGAGGGCTGCTACCATGCAGCTGGTGTCTTCCAGCTCTGCGATTCTTCTAAACAACTCTCAGCAGCCCTCTGGATTTGATGGGTACCAGCCAGAGCACATGCAGCGGCTCCCACATGAGATTCTACAAAGCCAAAAGGTTTCTACAAGCTGCTGCCAACTGATGTATTTCTTAAAACAAATAATAACCCAGTGGAAACAATTTGCTTTTAGCTGCAGGACTCGTGGCTTGAATATGCAGCCTTGGGATGGGAGCCCCAGCAGCAAAGCAAGCCTCCGGCAGAGCCATGTGGATGGCAGCGCCAGTTGTAAATAAGCAGTCGCTGGGTAAGGAGGGAATTGGCTTTTGTGAACGCCAGTTTAAATAAGCAGAGATGTCACTTGAAGCCTAAATAAGGAAATAGGAGTTTGATTTTTTTATTTAACTACATGACGCTATATCTTCAGCCAGCTGCAAGTGACAGTGCCCAGCATGGCCGGTTATGATCTGTGCTGCCAGGGGAAGTGTGCTGGGGCTTTTAACCTGCTGTGGCTCCTTTAGCATCACCTGCATCCTGTGATGGGGAAAGGGGCTGAGCAATGGTAAAGATTGCTAAAGATACTGGAGTCAGGAGTAGAAACACTCTGCACCTACAATGCAGTGCTTCCCAAATGCTCCCCCAGGCAGCATTTGTGAGACCAACATGGTCAGCTG